TGGGGAAAGATTGGTGCTGGTGATCTCAACATGTAGATTAATTTCTCGGGGATAGAATTGACATTGCTACCAGCATATCTTAACCTCCTCCAGCTATATAATGCTTTCTTTGGGTCTCTGATGCTGCTGGAACCATCTCAGCTTTATCACCTTCGTTCTTGAATTCTACAAATACAATTACATCTGTTCCTCATCAAAGCAGAAATATATTTTTAACCCCAGAATCAAGCAGCAGACAGTTGAAGAGTAAGTACTTCTAGAGAACCTTGGCTAGGATCTTGTCATTAATATGAAGTTCATCAGTAAGATATCACAGTTTTTGTGAAGAAAATATCTATCATGGAATTTATCTCCAGATGGTGTTGATAGGGTGCCCTGAAACCCTGCTTCTATTGAATCCCTTCCTAGGTTCTCCATATGTTGACACAGAGTCCATGCAGACGTCTCTGTAAATGTTAATGCTGTCTGAAGGCTTCTGCCAGCTTCCTGCCTTGCTTTTTTTCTCAGATGTTTCTGTTTGGCTACCTCAAGGGCTGGGATGCTTCATTATCTCACATCTCTAGATCATGGACTGGAAGAGTTCCAATGGAGATTATTGGATCTATGATAAACAAAACCTCACTAAAGTCATAAATATTGAACAAATTGGCTGTGGAATGTTTCCCTTGTATCAGTGAAGACATTCGGAGCTGTGTTGGCTTGACTGTTAATTCTGTTTTACCGTTTTCTCATCACAGTAAAACTAATTCTAAATGCACTATTTACAACATTCCTACAGATTTACTGAAAGCCACTGTATTCTCTGCTGATCTACACACTGGGTTATAAGCCTGGGCAATTTGCAGTGACACTTTTTCCAGTGTATTCCGTCCACTTCCTCTCCTAGTGAAAGTCAGTCTTCCATTTTCTGAACTCTCAACACATCCTGTTTGCTGTGGAAGCTGATTCTGTTGCCTCTGCTCTTTGGGGAACCAGATGACTGTTAGGTGCCAACAAGCTAGATCTGTTACTCCTTTGTAATTCTGCCCCATTTTCTCCTGTTTATGACTTGTTTTAAATATCACTATCTCATTATCAGTGAGAATGAACAGTTACTGACTTCTCATTCTATGGTATGACAATGTTCTAAGTAAACTGGAGAAACATCAAATGTTATGTGGGCATACATGCATCTATTTTTGTGAACCTCAGCTTACTTCTTTTGCCCGCCTGTCTCACTTAAAGAAAACATGTATTTCCTTTTAGCCTCTGTCCTTTTGAATCCTACGTGCTTTCTTCTTTGTGGGTCTCCTGACAGAACATTGTTCGGAGCACACAGAGTCTGTCAGGAAAAGAGTTAAAAAAAACCCGCTACCTTCCTAGCTAACTGTGGCCCACAGGCTGCTAATTAGTTTGATGGATCAGCACCTGGTCTGGTTATGAATGCTCGCAAGACCATTGGCTGCTGGCAGCTGATTCACGGCTCCCTGAGGTTTGGAGATGTATCAACCTGAACAGAGAGAGCTGGCACTTGCTTAAAGGGTAGCTGCAGCCAATTATTCATGTGCTCCTTTGAACTTGACTTGGCTGAAGACAGAACCATGCTTTGAGACACATTGGAGGCAGCTTTTTCTTGAACAGTGGGTTGCAGCTACCTGGCACACTTTCCCTTTGTGGTGCCGTTACAGTCCAGTGACTAATACAAATAGAATTCTACAGTCACCTAAGGTGTGACTGGGTTGGGCTACGTACCATTGCTTCAGTTTTCACTCTTCCTTCCGTTTCTCTACTCCTTGTTCTGGAGGGATGCTTACAATCACTTTGTTTCAACTTTCTTATTTTAGCGGCCTTTTAAAACACACACACACACACACACACACACACACACACACACACACACACACATGTAATGACAAAACTCAAAAAAGTATGCTAAGGAGGCATATGACCAGGGAAGCAGTCTGTATTGAATGTGGGCTTGTGTCATTATTTAGCTATCTTAGTAGATACCAGACAAGTATCTTAGCCTCTTTATGCTTCCAAAAGCTTATCAGTAAGTGGGAGAGATTAATTCCTACATCATAGGGTCACCGGAATGATCACACAAAACCGCGTTCATTTCTTTCATTAGTATGGACTGTGCTGCCCATATTGGTCAGCATTAACATTTAAGTGTCTATTGTGTACTGAGCCTGATGGAGGGGCTTGTAAAGGAACAGAGACTGCTGTTAACTACTCGCCCCCACCGTAAATGCAGAGACCATTAAGAAGAAATGGTCCAGGGGTGAGATTCTAACTCAGCATTAGCTCCACGCTCATCCTCCAGCACATGCTGTCTGTTTCCATTGGGGCCAACATGGATGTGAATCTCAGCATCTCTCTGAGACACCAGCCTCCTATCCCCTGCGGTAATCCAATCATACACCTGAGCACTAGTCAGCTTCTTTGTCCTGACTGAAGGTTTCATGAAGGTGGCCAGGTGGGGAGTGTTCAACATAAACTCCATGCAAGCAGTTCATTTAAAGCTCCATTCATTATTTCCATTCACAAAAGACTACACGGCCATTACTATCTTTGCCCCCCATGAAGACCTTGCCCTTACCAATGTCCGCTCCTTCTTGGAGCAATCCAACATTATGTCCGATTGTGTATAAGATAAGCAGTCCTCTGTGTCACCATGAGCTCTCACCCCACCCTCCCAACAGTGCATCAAGATATTTCTTCCAAACAAATACAGTGATGAGATAATACAGGCAGGCAAAGCTCTCCACCTCTTGATGCTCACACCGTCTTTATGAGTATGCATCCCTATGCCAGTTTTATAGATACGGAAACAAAAACGCAGAGCAGTTAGGGAACCATCTCTGTGAACAAGCCCGGCCTTGAATATTTGCTGGAAGGATTACTGGATGGTGGATTGTCGAGGGCTGTTCCTAGTGCAAGTCACATAGAAGGCCATGGCTGCTTCCTCTGGAAATGATAATAACAGAAATAAACATAATACCAGCATCATCCTGGTCGCATCTGTTTCCCACAGACAACATAATGAATGTCAACCACAGCGCCAGCTTTATAGTTTACAAAGTCCAATGAAAACAGTGGCCAGGGGCAAGAGAGTCAGTTTCGCCTTCCCACCCCCCTGTATCTCTGACCTACAGTCGATTCTGGTCTCTAGACTGGGTGAGAGGTGTGTGCTGCGTTGCCCAGTGAGCAAACCATGTTGCTGAAATCATAAGCAAGGATAGCCCCAACCTGCTGTGGGATGATCTGTATGGCAAATGTGTTGCTCTGTTTGGTTAATAAAGAAAACACTGATTGGCCAGTAGCCAGGCAGGAAGTATAGGTGGGACTAACAGAGAGGAGAATTGAGGGAAGAGGAAGGCAAGGAGATAGACTGCAGCCACCGCCAGGACAAGGAAGATGTAAGGTACCAGTAAGCCACAAGCCACGTGGCAAAGTATAGATTAATAGTAATGGGCTGAATATAAGAGTAAGAGCTAGACAATGATAGGCCTGAGCTCATGGCCAAGCAGTTTAAATAATATAAGCATCTGTATGTTTATTTTATAAGTGGGCTAAGGGACTGCTGGGGCTTGGCAGGACCCGGGGAGAAAATTCTCAAGCTACACCAACCTATTTACCCCCAAGAAGCTACAGGGTGGGGATCCCTCCATATAAAGAATGTGCACCAGCAGGGGGGAAAGAGGCGAGAAAAGGATTGAATGCAGGCCAGTCTCTGCCCAACTCCTGTTCATGCCAACCAAATGCTACCCAAGCAAGAATTAGCAATGGGACAAGCCAGAGAGAAGAGGCCATGTAAGGAACACAAGGTGGAGAACAGGTAACCCGAACTTCATCCCAGGACCACACAGGTGCCAAGCACCAGCAGGTGGCCCCATGTCCCATCAGACCTCACTTACAACACAAAAATTCAAAGTCGAAATTATGCAGAATAAATGGACTGTAACTTCAGAGCCTTAATCCAAACACTGGGCCCTGTATTAGGCAGGGTTCTCTAGAGGAACAGAACAGATTTAATGTGTATATAATATAAAGAGAGTATTTGTTGGATGGGCTTACATGATAGAGTCTGGGGTGGCCAACATCAGTTTCTGTTCACTGATAAGACAGAATCCATTGGGAACACTTCCATAGTTCCAAGCCAGTGCAGAAAGCCTAAAAGATCCCTAAAGAACTGCTGGTGTGGAGTCCGCGTTGGAAGGTCAATGGAGCTGGGATCTAATGACAGCACAGGATAGTGTCAGCGGTGACAGACAGCTCAGGGACACACTGATTTCTCCCTCAGACCTCCTTGAGAGCAGGCTTCCCTGACATCCCCAGTTACTCTCTGAAAACACCCTCCCAGAAATGCCCAGAGGTGTGTCTCCTGGGTAATTCTCAATCCTATAACACTGGCAATCAAAGCCAGCCATCATCAGCGCTCCAAGATAACCCAGGAGCATGGCCACAAAGCCAACCGTATCAACAATAAATACACAAGTAAGATGTTGGTCTAAGAGTACAGAGTTAATGGTGTAAGATGAATAAGGGGCTGGGAAACGGCTCAGTGGGTAGCAGCTCTTGCTATAAAGCAAGAAGCCCTGAGTTCAAATCCCCAGGATCCACATAAAAAAAAAGTCAGGCAACCCCAGCATTGGGGGGCTGGAGACAGATGGATGCCAGGATCTTGAAGGCCAGCCATCTGAACAGGGAGCGTCCAGTTTATGGAGAGACCTTGTATCAAAAACCAAGGTGGAGAACAAGAGATGATTCCTGATATCCTCTTCTGGGCCTCTGCACGCACACACATAGGCATGTGCACCTGCATACACCATACACAAATGTACATATGCCATACACATACAACATGTGTACAAAAAAAAAGAAAAAAGGATGAATAAATTTGGAGACCTAAAATACAGCATAACAACTCATTAATAATAATGTACCATGTACATGAAATTCACTAAGTGTCTTAAATATTCTCAATATATACCAAGGAAGAAAAAGGCAAGAAAATCTATGCAGGATGATGGATGTGTTTATTTGTGGGAGTCATTTCATACATACATTCACCATACACACCTTGACAAGTTTTATTTCCCAATTATATTTCAATAAAGTTGGGGAGGCAATAATTCTTAAAATAACCAGTATGCAAAAACTTCCCAATCTTTGAATGCTGCATAAGCACAAAGTATTATTGCTATCACCATCATTATGTAATAATATCAAGCCCTTGCAAGTTTATAGGGCTTTTACTTAGTGACCCCAGATTTACAAGTGTCAAGGAGAGTGCCAACACTTCCATCTCCCCGCTAGGAAGGAGAATTGTTCCCAGTCCAGTGCACTGACAGAGCTCACGCATTCCGAGTGACAGGGTGAAGCCGGTCTTCAGGGAACACCCCGCCCTTCAAATGCATCTCCCATGGAATGCACATGGAGGAGACGCCGACTTCTCAGACCGGAACTGTCTCTTCCCTTCTAAGAGAGAGAAAGGAACGGAACGCCTGCCCCTGGGCTTCTGTGGCGCCACCTCCCCGCCCACCCCAGCTGGAAATGGTTCTTTATCCTACACATCTGTTATGCCAGGATGTTAAGGCAGGGAACACCCAGCCCCTTGCCCCTTACCTGTAGGTCTGATGGCACACATTTCACTAGAGCAGGGTGTTTTTCTTACAGGCGAATGTGTTCAGTGATTCAGAGTAAAGCAGTTATTAAACAGCTCCCAGAGCTCTGTCATAATTGGAGAACGCAGCTGAGAGATGGAAGAGGCAAATTAGGACATTCTCACCCTCCATACCCACTAGGAACCATTTAGAGGGAAGCAGTGATTTACTAAATGATAGCCTAATGGCCTGAAAGAGTTAATGGGCTCCCCTCATTACTTCTACCCAGAGAGTCATCATTGTCCTAAAGGGCCTCAGGCTCAGTCCATCCAGAGACCTGACTATGTGTGGACCTAGGAGAGTAAATAGATTCTCATACCCTGGATGGCAGACCACACCCTGCCATTCAATAGGAAGGGGCTGGGGTCCCTTAAGGCTCATCCCCTCCACCTACAGTCAGAAACTCCAGGGATGTAGACCTTTGTTTTGCTTTTCTTTGGAGTCTCTGTGCTGTGAGATAATGAGGGAGAAATACCAGCCTTTACCAAGCTCCAGGCTGGGGAATACGTCAAGGGAAGGGATGTTTTACGGCCAAGCTAATACTGTACTTGCTTGGGCAAAGATCAGCTTTTGGTAGTTTGCTCTAGGATGACACTGAGAATTGGAAATTCTCTCCTCTCTCTCTCTCTCTCTCTCTCTCTCTCTCTCTCTCTCTCTCTCTCTCTCTCTCTCTCTCTCTCCTTCCCTCCCTCCCTCCCTCCCTCCCTCTCTCTCTCCCTCTCTTTCTCTGACTCTGCTTACCTAGTGTGACCTTGAGCCCTGACGTTGTTAGGGCACAATTTCCTTATCTATATCATAGGAGCGATATTAATACTTCAACTTCCCAAATTATTTCAAAGATGGGACGCACACTTGTATATTGTGAATTAGGAAAAAACACATATAGCAGTTCTTCCTTCATGGTTTCAGTTACTTCCAGTCAGCTGCCTTCCAGATCTACTAAATGGAAAACTCCATAAATAAGCAATCAGTAAGTCTTAAATAACTTTTCATTACAGCATACTTTACAGTTATTGTTGTTAATCTCTTGCTGTGCTCAATTAATAAATTTACATATGTAGGAAAGCAAACCGTTCCTGTGGGGATGGTATTAGCTTTGATTCCAGGCATCCACTGGGGTTTGGAATGTACTCCCCCAATATAGACAAGGAGGAACTACCATAGCCACTGATTATTCAGAGAAATAATTCTTACACTGCTTGATCTTAGAAAAACGGCTTAACTTCTCAAGTCCCCCACAATTTCTTCATCTGGAAAGAAACAGTGGTGCAATGATGGCAGTGGTTCTGTAAGATTCCCAAGGGAGGCACAGGAAGGGTCTGGCACACCACAGGTACACAAGAGCTCCGTTCCTTCCCTGAGTACCTCCTCCCCACACCAGAAACATCTTCCGCCAGTGCACACGTCCCTGTGCTTCCTGGACCTGCGGCTTGGGAGAACTGGGCTGCATCGTCAGGCTGAGTTTTCTTCTCTCTCCTCTGCTTCCTGTGGGGCTGGACATAAACATGTTCCCCCCGACATGTCCTGTGACTGAAGGTCTCCGCAAAAACTGCCCTCTGAAAATATTTCTTCCGTTGTTCGTCCGATTCTGTTCTTGATGGTTTCCTCATACTGAATGAGATTCAGTCCAGTTCTTACTGACATATAAAGGGCTAGCAGATGTGACATACATAGAGCTCTCAAGTACCCTTGGAATTATTGGCCCTAGCTTTCAATTAACCAGACCTCTTGGGGGTAACCAGAACATTCATCTTTACCTGTTCACGTTGTTTCTTGCCATTCTTACTCCATGCTGCTCATTTCTGGGGTTCATTTGAATGCATCCCTTCCCCTCTGGCCCCACCCGTCATCCAGCCATTGGTATGCACTTATATCTACATGAGTCCATCCTCACCTCTTTATCACCTCCATGGCCCTTGCTTCAGCCCCTAATAGTCTCTCAAAAGCTGACCATGGAGTAGATCTATGACCCACAGGCAAATGAGAGGGCTCCATCACTCATCCACAGTGGTTCACCCAGCGAGGGTGAGAACAGGGATTCTTCTGGAACTGCTAAGGAAGAGAAAGACTCTGTCCGCTGCAGTTTCTGCACTGGTGAGCCAGCATTGCCCGGAACTGTTGAGGGCCGTGATGTAGAAAGGTCTTTCTGGTAGTAAAGCTGGTACAAAGCTGAGTAAAAAGAAAATCCTGAAGTGGCTTCCAAATCAGTATTTATATCTTAAGGTGATTCTGAAAATTAAATGAGATAATTGTGTACTTGTTACTGTAACATAGAACATGGCCTCTGGTATAGATGAAATAAGTGGTAACTTCAGAAAAGAAATATGCACTCAGTACATGAATTTGTTGTGGTGAAAGAAAAAAAACACCCCATAATATGTTTCTTCAACTGGTAATGAGCTCTCTGTTGCTGGAAGAATCCAAGCTTTGGTTGAATACCTCGTTAGATACTGAACAGAAGACTGACTGCCAACCAAAGAAGGTTGTCATACTTACGTTTAAGTTTCCTTCTGAGCCAGTCAGGACACGTTCAGTGCCAGAATCCTTCCTTAAAATGGCTCAAGTGAAATTTATGAGTTCGTGGAGGAGATAAAGTCTGGAGGTTTTAGGCACCACCACATCCTGTGCCTCAAAACCTATCACTGGAATTCCTTAGTCTCTCAGTCCATATTGGGGGAGGGTGGGGCTCACCCACAGATGCCAAGGTCAACACCGGATGCCTCCATCTAGCACTCTCTGCACTGTGTTTTGAGAGGGAGTGTCTCACTGAACCTGGAGCTCATTGATTCAGCGAGGCTGGCTGGCCAGCAGCCCCGGAGGACTGTCTAGCTCTGCCTCCCCAGGGCTGGGGATTGCAGGCCCCCCACTGCCACGCCTGGCTTTGACAGTGGTTTTAGAGATCTGAAGTCAAGTCCTCATGCTTGCTTAGGTTAGCACTTCACTGGCTGAACCAGCTCCCCAGGTTCCCACCCCGCTTCCTGATTTTTATTTGGATGTTTGTGACTGGAAGTTGTGGCTCTCCTTCCTCAGTCTCCCCAGTTCTGGAGTCATGGGCTTGCACCACCACACCTAGCCTCTCACGCGGTGTCTTTTTTTCTTGATTCTACACCAGCTTCGCCCATAGGCAGACACTCTCCACAACCTTGTCTTCAGCAATATCCTGGCAATACCAGCTCTATCAACCCAGAAAACCCAGTGGAGGGAGGGGTCCTCTTTCTCAACAGGCCCCGGAAGAGTCCCTGTCCTGACCCAGGTGTATACATACCTCCTCACTTGCTCAGCTGCTAATCGTGGGAGAAGGTGCTGGAGGTGAGCTTGGCCGTTGAGTCCTGGTAATAAGGTAGAGTGGCTTCGTAGTTCTGAAGGCTTATGAATCAATCCTAGGATGAATTAATTCTCTGGATGGGTAAACTGTGCTATGGGCATGGTGCTAGAGTGTCACATGGGTGCACTCATCTTATCCTTAGGCAGCACCCTTAAAGACCAATCGCCCTTATTTTATAGATGCAGACACTGGAGGTGCATCAAGGTTAAACAATTGCTCACAGCTTATACCACCCAGGCAGACAATCAAGCTGCCCTGGAATGCAGTGCTAAGGCTGTGGGACTTTTCCGTGTCGTGTTCCATACTCAGGAATTCCCGGTATGAGTCTCTGGTGTACCTTAAACCGTGTTTTCTTGACGAAAAGCAGTCCTTATGGTCTGACCCACTTAACAAGAGACATCCTGGGGAGATTAGGGTGTACAGTCACTTAGTGGGAGAGTCTACCAGAAACCCAGTCTTGCTGCTAGCTTTGGAAGTAGCTGCGTCTATGGCTCACAGCTGCTTTGTCAGTTAAAAGGTAGGAAAGGGGTGAGGCGCTTTAGCACCTGTGTTTTGCAGCTGAACCTCAGTCTCAGGGGTTGGTTGTAAGCAATGGCTGCAAGCAGAGGGCTTAGCTACGGCTCAGTGGAGCTGCATGTGGCTCTGGCCCTGGATGCAGTTAACAAAAAAAGTCCCTAGGTCTTAATTCAGGAGACTGGGGCAGAACATTTCCAGCAGATGGGCCTCAGTGTCTACATCCATTTCCCCTTGGATTCCAAGCCTGCTTGCCTCCAGGAAAAAGTATAAAGTCCCTTCTGCTCAGGCTGGCTTGTTTCAGCTTGGTAGTCAGATCTGTAAATACACTACAGTTAATAGGCAGGTCTGAACATCGTTTTAAAATTGCCGTCTAAACAAAGGGACTTTCCTTTTATTATTATCACAATGAAAGCATGATAGGGCAATAAAAATAACAAAAATCTGTTGAGTGCAGGAGGCAGTTTGTGCCTTATTTGCCTCATTACTCATAAACAAACCTTGCCTTCACGAAAGCGCAATGCTGCTTCTGCAGTGGGCACACACCCCTAAGGACCACACAGGGTTGTTCAGCACCAAAGCCTTTCCCAGTGCCAGACTCTGCTGAACACCTTCATTCTGTTGCTACCTTGTTGCAGTCTCTCCCCTGCTCCCCCTTCTCTTTGCGTCTCCTTCATCTCCTCTTATTTCTATCCCATGGCCTCTATCAAAACATAGCTTTTTTTTTTTTTTTTTTTTTTTTTTTTTTTCTTTCAAAATCCCGAGCCCTGCTTCCTGTATACTGGGAGGTAAAACTCCACAGTGCGGAAATTCTAAATCCATATTGATTGTACACTTATCTCTGTAGTGGCGTAGTTCTGGAATATCTGTCTACTGAAAACGTATCCACAGAGTTGAAAAGATTTGTGGGTGGGATTTCCCACAACTTTTCTAATCTACTGAGGTTTTATCCTTTGCTGCAAAAGATGGACAGTGTGGTCGCTGTCCAGGGTTCTGACCTCAAACATTCGGCCCTGACTTTATTCTACCAGTAAGGAAGGGTGGGTGATGATAATCCACTCCCAGGCCTTGCAACTATCAGGAATCAGCTGATGGTAGATTTGGGTCTCTCTTCTGAGCTCCAGGTTTATATTGTCTGATGTCTCCTTGTTTCTAGTTGGAGAGAAAGTAGAATTCATCATATCCTAAGCTTTCTTTCATTTGCTCAGTAAATTTCTTAATGCCCACTTATCAAAAGAGCTGTGCATAAATACAAGACCACATAAGCAGGGAACTACACCCCATAATTCTTATAGGGAGATCTATAACTAAAATAATATTTTTAAATGATAAATGCAGTGTTAATGGTAGAAATCTTACTATGTCCGCAAAAAGGTACTTCTTAGGTCAATTCAGAGAAAAAGAAAAAAAAAAAAAACGATTCCTAAGGAAAGTTGTATGTTAGTTGAAATTCATAAATTGTAATGACCCAAAGAAAGTGTTCCACCAGGATTAGAACCCCACTGTAATTTAACTCCCCATCACTGAACAGCCACCTCATTATTTGAATCATAGGCTCGAATAAACAAGTGAAAGTATTTTCAATCACTATCTTTGGGGAAAAAAATCTCTAATGAGGTATTAAGAATCCTGGAACGGCTCTCTGGACTTTATGCAAATGCATGTACATGCATGCACACACACCGTTAAAAACAGACATTTGTAAAACTAACTCCGACTTTTGGGCTTTGCTAAAAGGCTGAAAGGTACAGGCTTCCTTGTAGCTTTCTCCCTTTTTAATCCCATTCCTGAGACTACCTCTCTGATGTTTGTTTGCTTATCTGATGCATTTCCAGGCTTGTTTTGCAAACTTTGCATCATAATTCTGAAGGACAGATGCCGTTCTGAATATATATGTTTGTGCCATGCATGTTTTTCAATGATATTCTAAAAGTGGTTTTCCTTTACTTAAAAAATGCTCAAAACAAATGACAAAAATCCAAGACACAAATATGTAGAGTACAAGGATAAGGTAACATTGAGATAAAAAATATTTTTACTGAAATACTTATATGTGGGCATGTCTTTTGATAAGATCTCAAAGCCAATCTCCTAGGCATATAATCCTAGGTGGTTGAAGATTAAGTCATGCCTGAGACTGTGTTATTTCACAGAATTCCATACTTGATTCATGAAAACCTTGATTTCAGGTGGTAAATCTAGAGGGTGTGTTGGGAGAGAGGGGACTGCCTTTGTGTTCATTATCTTCCTCCCTCAGGAAGCCCACACTACACTTGCATAATTCCCCCCACATAACTCCAGATGGGATCATCAACTCTACTTGCGCTTTTTCCACGGTCTGGAAATTTTACTAGAACGTTAAGTCCATTTCTGATTGGGATAACTGTCATTGACACCAATAGGTAAATACTCCTATTCCATCGGAAGCTCTTTTTTTTTTTTAAAGGTTTGTTTACTTTTATGTGTATTGGTGTTTTTTCCAGCAGGTATGTTTATGTACCACATGCATGCTGTGCCTGCAGACTCCAGAAGAGGGCATCAGATCCCCCTGGAACTGGTGTTACAGATGGTTGTGAGCTACCCTATGGATGCTGGGAATCAAACCTAGGTCCCTCAGCAAGAGCAGCCAGTGCTCTTAACCATTGACTCATCTCTCCAGATCCTCAGAGCTCTTTTTTTTTTAATCAAGCAGAAACCTCAGTACTGTAAGAGGTGTTTAGTATTTTTTTTAATTTTTAATTTAGCTAACTTTTCTAGGTATATTGCAGACACTACTGTTACTGTTTTATCATACATGGTGTCTCAGTCGGGGTTTGGTCAGAGAAGTGATCCAGTAGGATGCATGTTCTAAGAGACTCATTGGAAAGGATCAGCCTATGTGAGGGGGGCTCCCCAGGTAAGTCTGACATCTGTGAATAGGGCTGTTAGGACGAGTGGGCTGAACTCTTGGGAGCAGGTTCCAACCACTACATTCCTTCTTCATGGAATCCTCAGTTCTGTTTTTAGAGTTCTGATAGAATCAGATCATTTAAGATAATCTTCTTGAGGCCAATGGACCTTAATTACATCTACAAAACACCTCTGCAATGCCTACGTTAGTGTTTGAATGCCCAGGAACTTTCAGCCAGCCACGCTACTACACCAAAAAGACCATTACACATAATTACTTTCCTTTCCTCCTAACTACCACTCTCAGAGGTACCTTCCATTATTGTCACATTCATCTTACAAACTGGAATGGTGAGGCTCCAAAACATTAGGTAGAGTGTGTAAGATCACAGAACTTTTAAGTGGAATACCCATGACTTGAATCCACAGATGCAATTCCACATTCAGGGTCTAAACTGTGCCGTATGCTCCCACCAAACAGGTAAAGTTTTAGACACTGTTCATCTAAATGTCTACAAAGGCACCTCATATCAATGTTTTACATGTTTCCCAGGAAAGTTGCCACCATCTTTGGAACCATCAATCAGTCCTCTCGGTACTTTTTTTTAATACAAAGGAAGAATTTAGGAAGTTAGCACAACTCCAATGTTAGTCTGTCCAACAGAAGATGATTGTTTTTAAAGAATCAGTTTACATTGAGAAGGTTGCATTCTTGATGACCCATATTGAAACAAGTGTTCTGTTTTTCTCTGGGGACACATGCAGGCTGAGTGTTGATATCATGAAGGATTGTTTTTGTTTTCTAAATTGTATCATTTTTGCAAGGAACACTGTATTACTTAAAATGACTAGAGTATTTTAAAAATGAGAAACATGAGACTTTATAGTATCCAAATTTAAATGACATAAATGAAAACTTGAATGACTTTTTAGCAAAAAAAAAATACAAATGAGAAAAAGAATTCTGACACTGACTTTCCTGGAGTGCCACAATACTGTGACAAGTGTCTGGACAAGCAACAAGAATCTGTCGCTTTATCCTGCCTCCAGTAAGGATGGTCCTTCGTCGAGTGACTTAGCCCCTCTAGGGATCAAGTTCCTGGTCTATAATATAAGGACTTTGGGAGCTAGGTCTCACATCTTGAAGCTTTTCTGGAATATAAAATTGTCTAAAGTTTCAAGGAGGAAGATCTATTTTAGTTCAGAGCAAAAGTCTTTTCCTCTGTAAATTATTTAATACGTCCCCTCAGGTAGTGGGGGGCACTACACATTTATATTTTGTTTTCATTTGATGTGTGTGAGTGCTTTGCATGCGTATACATCTATGCACCACATGTATGCCTGAGTCCAGCAGGGGCATCAAATGGAGTGATAGATAGCTGGGAGGCACCATGTGTGTGCTGGGAACGAAACCTCAATCTTCTTCTTCGAGAGCAGCTCGAAACTGCTGAGCCATGCCCAGCCCCCCCCCCCCATTCCTTTATATTTTAGTGTGCATACCTAGAGGTTCTTACAAGGTTCCATTAGTCCCAGGCTGAAGTTTATTCACAGACATTCAGCATTTGGCATTCTCTAATCTTGCTGAATGGGACTTGGTAATGGGCACCATGGACAGCAACTTTTGCAGCGTCGTTGTTACCCCGCTGGCCACAAAGACTGACAGGGGATTAAGTTTCCATTCACTCTCTAGAGGAGGTACAGTCCTGACCTAGAGGTCCCAAATGTTTCCAGAGTGCAGAGCACTCAACACAGGAGAAAAACCAATAGCTCACATCCTGCCTAAAGAGCCTTCAGTTCATTCCTAGCACATGACATCTCTAGATGGCCCTATGTCTGGAACCCGAAAACAATAGCCACAAGGGAGCAACACTCCAGGAAATAGTATTCCTCGGGTGTTTTCATGACTGCAAAACCAAGAAGACACATTCACCTCAGCACACGGAGTGTCTGAGCTCCAGGATGAAATACTGAACTCTATGACTTGTCTTCAAAGCCACTGAAAGTTTGCTAATCTCAAAAGGAACTATCCAAAACATGTCCCCCACCCCTCACCCCCACCCCCCCCAAAAAAGGCAGGTCCCATTCATTAGAGTACAGGCAACATACAGTCTGATTCTTTGCCTGTGTAAGATGCAGAAACAAAAGTCTTTGGGCTGGTGATGCAGCTCAGCCGGACAGTGCTTGCCTAGCATCTATAAGGAGCCTGTCTTCACTCCCCAGTACTGGGATTTGGGGGAGCTTGCTTTCTTTCCTGATGTAAATGAGAATGTAAATTTCACCTGACGAAATGCTCATACTTCACAATCCTGGTTGGCTCAGCTTTATGTCCTGGGCCTGTTTCTTGCTAGCAGAGTAAGCCCCGGGAACCGTGTGAATCCCACAAAAGCAGGTAGTGAGTGATTCAGCAGGGGACCAAAAGGAAACAGTGTTTCTTGTTTCTGAAAGAACTACCAGTTGCATCCCTCTTTTGAAACTTTTTCATCTGCTAAGTGAGAGTAATGCTGAAACTTAGTCACAGGGTTGTCAGGAGAAAAAGAAATAACCCACAGATCCCTGGAGCAAACAGTAGGTGCTCAGTAAACTTTACTTCTTAGGTTCACATGTCTATTTCCATCCCTGAGTTTTTGCAGCTGACCAGAACCTTTGTCTGCCTTGGCTTAAAGGCAATACATGCACACTGGTAAAGTTGAAAAAAAAAAAAAGTGAATTGTCTTGCACAAGCACTGTTAGGGATTTATCATGTTAGCCATTTCCTTAAATATTTCGTTACGATCTTTACAAAGACCACAAGGTGCTGTCTACTTTTCTGTAAGAAGGCGATTCTTCTC